AGAATGGCTTGAACTCTTTCTTCGAATTCACCTCTAAATTTTGAACCAGCAATAACTGCTGCCAAGTCAAGTGCAATCAATCTCTTTTTCTTAATGGAATCTGGAACTTCTCCTTTCACAATTCTTTGAGCTAGTCCTTCAACGACGGCTGTCTTACCAACACCAGGTAAACCAATGATCACTGGATTGTTCTTTGTTTGACGTGACAACACCTGAATGGTTCTTCGAATGACATCATCACGTCCAATGATTGGATACAATTTTCCTTTCCGAGCTTCTTCAGTCAGATCAATTCCGAACTTTTTCAATGCTTCTCCCTTTTCAAAGGTAGTTTCCCATGGCATCTTTCCACTCATTCCACCACTGCCACCAAAGTTTGGATTCATATTGGTGTGATAGGATCTCTTCATGACTACTAGTCCGCCATCAGAGTTGTGGTGGAGACTCAGTGGTGATTGTAGGTGTGATGCATTCCGATTAAACTGCAAATTCAAACTCGTAGGACAGTTGTTATTTACATGATGTTGTTCGGAAAATCGAAAAGACTTGAATCCTCTAATCTGATAATTTTGTATTTGCAAATTGGATGCAATCTTGGCATTGGATCGGATGTGAGTCGAAACGTTTTTAGTCAAATTGCTCTGCAGCAACAACGACGAAGACGACGAAAAGATGTGTGAAGTGTGTTTGAGCATTTTTTTGTGTTGTGAAAGATTTGACTTTTTTGATTGGAGTTTTTATTGAAAGGTTCATGAATAGGGTCATGGTGGTTTGGATTGAGCGACAAGAAAGGAAAGCTCGGAATTGATGAATTCCGAACCTATTTTAAGATGTGTGAAAAGAATATTAGTTCTGTCATTCAAGTGATCAATGAATCATAAAGTGCAAAGAGTGACGGAATGCACCAGGAAAGAGCTCTTGTGGCTTCTCTCGTAGTCGCAATTGATGACACTCTGAAAAAAATGTCATCTCATCATTACAACAAAAACGAGCAACTGATCAGCAAAAAGAACGATGGATTTTTTGCTCTGATTCTTTTTTTTATACGATGAACGTGTTCGAAGTGTTCCGAAAGATATTTTCCACACTCTCCGAATTTACTAACACTTATCATGGACATGAAGATTTGAATCATCATGAAAACGAAGTGAAAGAAGAATAGACGAACGGCATGATCATTATTTCATTAAAAGTTGTTAAAAATTAATTTTAATGTGAAATATAATTATGTGAATCTCAAATAATATTATTGTTGAGACAACCTGTGAATTGGCTAGGTTGTATATTTCGGTTCGATGATTCTAATTTAATACTTACCTTTGGATAACTATATCATTATTAGAGTGCTTTTTCTCGAATGATTCAATCGAGGAGGATCAAATCCTAAAATAGATAATTTGCATTCAAAGCGAAAGTACTAATCACATGAAGAAGGTTTCTAAATGAATTGAACTCTGGATAATGTGAAAAATGAGAGATTTTCAATTTTTGTGATGGAGCTAATCTCGGAATACTCAGATTCCGAACACCTTCTAAAAATAAACTTCACTCTTACAAAAAAAATGACCAAAGCAGACGTGAGACCAGATTCGAATTTGTCAGGACTGGAGCATCCCACAACCTCGACCTCAAAGAAGGAAAAGAAGAGAAAACCCTATGTCAAGAGAGCATGCTTGAGTTGTCATTCAGCACATGTAGCTTGTGATTCAGAAAGACCCTGTCGAAGATGGTAAGTACTCTAGTGTTCAACGAACAAAATTCATGGATGACACCACACATTCGTTAATATTGTATTTAATTTTTTTTTTATTTGAATTTAAAATATTTAATATTCGATTTGTGTGTTACTACTGTTATTTGATTTTGTTTGAAAATCTATATGTACAAACAGCAAGAAGAAGGGAATTCCATGTGTCGATTACATACCCTCAAAGAAATCTAAATCCAACAAGACTTCAACCTCTGATGACGACGAGGCTGAACAGGTGCAAACACTACTAACGGACAACAACAGCCAATCAGAACCTTCAAACAGCAACGTCGTAGGAGATCATCCAACAACATTACAACATGATACATCATCGACAACAACAACAACCAACACCACTATCCACAACACTACACATAATCCTTCTCATCTCTCTTCATCATCACCCGAAAAGTCACCCAACAGAAAAAGGAAAAAGAAGGAAAGTTGTGGTGGTGTTCTGCGAGTGGAGACACCCTCTTCCAACCATTTTCTCATATCATCATCAGATCAAGAGGACGAACCTCAAACATCTTCTTGCATTTCTAATCAATCATCTTCCAACAAGTACGATAGCACTCTTACAGCTTCCAAATCAAGTTTGGTTCAACATGCCTTGTCCTTATCGGAAAAGCAAAATCAAAAGAAAGAAGTGAAAACACTCCCTCTCGTGGTGGAAAAACCAAAATCCTCAAACACCTTAATTATTGAGGATGATATTGAGAATCCATTAATGGCAACATCTCCAGTCAGTGCTGTGGATGTTTTATCAATGATTGATGGATTTGCAACCTCCCCGACCACCACCAGCACTGCTGCCACAATACCTATTACGATCTCTCAAAATTCTGTGAATACAACAACCACTCTCCTCAATAATACAGGAGGAGTCTCCACCACCACCACCACCACCACTACAGACACGAACACCACAACCAACAATTCTGTGAATACAACCACCACGAGTGGCAACATCAGTGAAACAACGACCAAACCAACAAGTGTGATTTATCCATACTTTTACAATCCGTGGTGGTATATGGCTCAACTTCAACAAAATCAAACTTCAGGTGGAACAACTAATGCTCAACAACAGCCTCAACAACAACAACTCATGGGCATTCCACCATATCCTGTAATTTTTGCTCCAATTCCTGCCACTCAACTCGGTCAACAACCATTTGTTTATAATCCCAATTCTTCTTCCTCCTCACTTCCAACCACAAGTCAATTAACACCTACTTCACCCATGCAAACAGACTCTGCTCCTTCTCCTTCCACAGCATTTCCAATGTTTGCCGCAGATCCCTATCATTTATATGGTGCATCATTTGCATTTGTTCCAAAGCCAATTACCATGTTAGAAAATACTGATGACGGTTTTATCGACCTTCAAGTCCCAAGTGCTTCACAACCTCTTTCTAGTGCATCCAAGTTTGAAGACTTGGATGTGAATAGCGATGGAATTGTTGAAGAGTCAGTAGCAGGTATTTTGCCGCAATCTGAAGACACAAACAAACATGTGACAGCTATTAATGACACGCATGCAACAACCACCGACAACTTGGCAATTTTTGACGACATTGATTACTTTGAGAGCGATACGAGCAGAAATAACGGCAGCAATTCAGATCTTTCTGTTTTCACATGGCAAGACAGTCCCTCTCTTGAGAAGAAGAAGCTAACAAGACCTGCCAGTAACAGAGCAATTTCGTCTGATGATGAGATTATTGATTTAATCACATCAGAAGCATCTTTACTGCACGAAAGAGCAAAGGAGCAGCAGAATTCGAATCGCCAAAACGGAAATGTTGCCAGCAACAGCATTTCATCCTCGAGTTCAGACAACCAATCATCCTTAACAACACCAGAGGAGATTAATTTTGTCATCAGTCAAGCACCAGATAATATGTTAATGAAACAAAAGTTGGGAGACATTATCAAACAGATTTGGCAAACACAAGAAAATCAAAGCAAGGAGATTAATGAGTTGAAGCAACTTGTTAGCGAATTGAAGAGAATGATTATTTCGTAAAAGAAGACCTTTTAGCCCTAATGGAATGATATCGTTCAATATAAATATGGCCAGTATGTTAAAGTAAAGATTAATTTTGTTACTATTTCGAGCTATTAAAATTTAAGTTGTTATGGTTTCATACATAGTCTAAGAAAAAACCAACTTCATGAGTTATGTCTTTTCGAGTGTCAGATTTTTAACATGCAAGAATCGATCATTTACCAAACTGAAGCTAATCTGGATGGATCAAAACCTCTTGCACGAGACACTCCATCTTCCGAGATTGAAGCATTTATTAGTGAAATTCACTCATGCTCTCCACAACTGCCGAAAATTACAATTTTGCATTCACCCAATGCTTGGAATTTTTACTTGGGGTGTCTCGAATATGAAATTTCTTTCTTATTTCCTTCAATTTTCACTCAATTATTAGAGGTCAATGAAGTCTATAATGAACCTTCGACAATTATTTCGAAAGCAAATTGGAATGTTCAAAAGAGTATTCTTAACCAGTACACATAAAAGTTCATTAACAAGATTCATCATTGGTTCGTCATGTACCACGATTACCCATCAACAAGAAAAGAAATTGATAGCATGCGAATGAATCTCATACAATTGTGTTCATGTAAAAAAAGAGTTCCTGAAATGATTGGAATACTTTCTGATAAAATATCAAATTTTGAAGGTTTTGGAATTGAGAAAGAGACAACTTGAAATTTTTGTTGAATTTAAGCCATTAGAGACTTGTGAAATTGGTAGACGAACCAAAGCTCTATTGGAGAAATTGGAAAAGCTCGCACCCAATAATTTTTATGGCTAGTTCTGATTCTAATGCTATTGTGAATTGCATCTCTCAATTGGCTATTTGCTCAAAAGAAATGGAAAATGAATTACTGAAATTGGAAAACATGAGTGCCAAGGTGTTACAGTCCCAAGAGTGGTATTCAGATGAAATTATTGAAATCTTTCAAGGTTTCGAAATGAAAGAAGAAGAACTCTATTATTTTGACGAATATGACACTAAGGATCAATAATTTCATTCTGACAACGATTTAGATGAAAATAACGATCCATTGAGTGAGGAAGAGTCGAGTGATGAAGAATATGAAAAAACAAAAGTTGTTGAAACTTGAGAAATAACATGCAACGACAATGAAACGAATAGAGCTGAAATTGAGCAGCACAAGTAGCTTCAAGACTTTCTGGAGTCTAAAGATCTTTCTTTTCGAGACATATATATAGCTCCACAAAAATGCACACCTTCTTCTTCGTTTTAATAAATGAATCGGTTCGTTCTTCATTTTCAAATCTTCATTTTTCAAAATGAACCTCTTTAGGAATTTTATAAAGAAGTTGGACGGCAATTTTATTGGATATCGAAACAACTCAAAAAAAAATGTCTCAACCTTGTGCTGTTAGTTTTGAAACGATCGATCAATACTTTGCGAGAAGAAACCAACTCTTTGATGAGTTCAAGCAAAGAAGAAGAAATGAATTGGGTGATAAGATTGGAAAAGATATTACCATTACTTTGCCCGATAACTCTACCAAGCCAGGAAAGGCTTATGAAACCACTCCTCATGATATTGCCATGTCCATTTCGGCTGGTTTGGCTGCTAACGTGGTGGTTGCGAAAGTGAATGGCACTCTTTGGGATATGGGAAGACCACTTGAAGGAGATTGTACTTTGGAATTATTAAAGTGGGATGCTCCTGAAGCAAAGGAAGTCTTTTGGCACTCCTCTTCTCACGTTATGGGTGAAGCCTTGGAGGATGTCTTCAAGTGCTACCTCTGTAAAGGACCACCATTGGAAGACGGAGGATTCTACTATGAGGCTTATATGGGTGATAAGTAAGTAATATCTGTTTTGATTTTATGGATGTATACTTGTTTTTTCGTGATGAATTTAATGTTTATTTAAATATGACATGGATAATTATCTCCTATTTATGATTGTATTTTTATATCATCGCGCTGAATACTCCAACATAATATTGTCTCCTATGGGTGATATTCACATGATTTTCAAATTTATTTACAAATTTTACCAATCGATTGAATAATATTATTGTTTTCATGATGATGTAAATAACATGACATTTCAACTTTCAGGGTCGTGTCCGAAAGCGACTATGACAAAGTGAAGGAAGCAGTCACTAAGATTGTGAACGAAAAGCAACCCTTTGAAAGACTTCTCGTCACTAAAGAAGAGGCCCTTCAATTGTTTGCTGACAACAAATTCAAGGTCGAAATTCTCTCTGAAAAGGTAAAGGATGGAGATTATTGCTCTGTTTATCGTTGTGGTAGATTGATAGATCCTTGCAAGGGCCCTCACCTTCTTCACACTGGAAAAGTCACCACTTTTGAGGTCACTAAAAACTCATCATCATACTGGAGAGCTGATGCTTCCAAAGAAACTTTACAACGTGTGTATGCCATGTCATTCCCTGATAAGAAACTTCACAAGGAATGGCAAACTTTGATGGAAGAGGCTAAGCGTCGTGACCATCGTAACATTGGTAAGGAGCAAGAGTTGTGGTTCTTCCACCCTTATGCTCCTGGTATGGTCTTTTTCTTACCTCATGGCCAACGTTTATTCAACACTATCCAAAGTATGATGAGAAATGAATACTGGAATCGTGGTTATTCTGAAGTCCAAACTCCAAATGTTTTCCACAGTGATTTATGGAAAACTTCTGGTCACTGGGACAAGTATGCTGAAAATATGTTTGTTTTAGAAATTGATAAGGCTCAACATAGCTTAAAGCCTATGAACTGTCCTAGCCACTGCTTGATGTTTAAACACCGAAATAGATCATACAGAGAATTACCAATTCGTTTTGCTGACTTTGGTGTTTTGCACCGTAATGAACTGAAGGGAGCTTTGACTGGTATGACTCGTTTAAGAAAATTCCAACAAGATGATGCTCACATTTTCTGCAGACCAGATCAAATCAAACAAGAAATCATGTCTTGTTTAGGTATGATGCAAGATATTTACAAGATTTTCGGTTTTGGTTTCAAACTTTTCCTCTCTACTAGACCAGAGAAATATCTTGGAGAAATTGAACAATGGAATGAAGCTGAAAGACAATTGGAGGAAGCATTGAACGAATTTGGCCATCCATGGCAAAAGAATGAAGGAGACGGTGCTTTCTATGGTCCAAAGATTGACATTTTGATTTCTGACGCTTTGAAGAGAGAGCATCAATGCGCTACTGTTCAATTGGACTTCCAATTGCCAATTCGTTTCGACTTGACCTATGCTGCTGAAGATAAGACTGAGACTAGACCAGTCATTGTGCACAGAGCTATCTTTGGTTCTTTAGAAAGATTTTTGGCTATTGCTACTGAACATTTTGGCGGAAAATGGCCATTCTGGCTTTCCCCAAGACAAGCTATTGTTGTGCCTGTTTCTAAGAAGTGTAATGAATATGCCGAAAAGGTACATAAGATTCTCCATGATGCTCGCTTCTATGTTGACGTTGACTTGAGTGACAATAGAATTGACAAGAAGATTAGAAATGCTCAGCTCGCTCAATATAATTATATTTTGGTCGTCGGACCAAAGGAAATAGAAACTGATTCTGTAAACATCAGAATCAGAGACAGTGATAAGGAGCTTGGTGTCAAGACTATCACTGAAGTTCTTGAAGAATTCGCCACCAACAAGAAGGAATTCAAATAAATATTTTGCACTCGCAACTCTAAATTGTTTTGCATAAAACGTGCCTTAATTTTAAAAAGGAACGTGAGTTAGGGGAACCTTTCGATAATAAATATTATGAGAACCTCTTTTTATGTGAAGATCAGTGACAATCCAAAACAAAATCTTGTACATTTTGAAGGACAGTGCTCCTACAAGCTTGGCTGTCTTTAAGCTAAAGAATGAAAGGAAAACGTCAAATGTCAATTAACTCCAACTTTCAATATAACCATGATAAAACTCATAATCACCATGATGGTCGTTATTTGTGAAATGACCAAAACAATTTCCAACATTGAAAAAGTCCACATGACCTCTTGATAGGAATTCAAATTCTCCACACGAGTCAAGTCCTCAAATAGATTCACTCGCAATCCAATTCCATTACACACCAATCGAAAGATTAATCCAAAATATTGAACAAAAATGAACGCCGAAAGCAAGAAGAAGAGAATTTTGTGATTTCTCTTACAGGTCTCTCTTGCCTTAAACATGATATAACCAATGACAACCATGAGAATGGAAAACACAACAATAAAAAAGCAAGAATTGACAATGGAGGAAATATTTTCGGAAGGAGTGGGAAAGAGTTGGGAAAGAGAGACATGTGTCGTGTTATTGTTGGACGAAATGACATCTGAAGTCAATAACATGTTGTTGGAAGTGACTAATGCATCATGTTGTTGTTGCAGTGGAGATTGTAAGAATTCAAGTGGAATAGAAAGTGTCGTGAGGAAATGTCATACATGATGAGAGTACTGGTCTTTTTTATCGAGATTTGTTTTGAAAGGAATGTGGTGGAAATCAAATCCTAACGATCTCACGACTTTCAAAGAGATGGATGAACTCACATGTGACGATGGGACGCACACACTGTGGCTATCTCTGAAGACTATTCTATCACAGAGAGATGACAATTGATGCAACAAAAGTTGTTTTTAAGCATCAAGTTTGTTCATGTTTCTAAAACAGAGAGAAATTTAGAGCTGTTCTTTCACTCAAAGGCGAGGATCACAAAACCATCATTTGGAAACAAACCTTAAATTTCGAAACCTTTTTTTTCAATTGGTTTGCACTCGCAACTCTAAATTGGAAAAAAAAATGGTTCTTCCTAGCAGAAGAATGCCATTAAGGCATTTCCAAACCATTTTAATTATTATTATTAATGTTCTAGAGTTGTGGATCCTGATGATGTCCTCCGAAGCTGCAATGATACCAACTGTTCCATCACAGGTTTCCTTTGATACCGGATCAAATAATACAAATTCTGCCGTCCATTCGTCGTTTTTCCAATTCAACAACAGAATTCCATCCTCTTCTTTGATTCCTATCTTTTTCAACATTACCAAAGAAACAGTCAATGATAATATGAAAATCTACGGTGGATGTCTCGGATTACCTTGTAATTTTATGATCATCAATGCAACAGATTATTTTGATTTTCTTCAAAATCCCTCTTTAGGTCTTTTGAGAAAGAATGCAGCTCAGTTAGGTCTTTTAAACATAACCAATGTGGATGGTACATTACTTTTTATTGGTGATGCTGGATTATACGCATTCATTGCGGTGAATCCGAATGTGAACAGTACTTGGCTCAGTGTTAAGGCTGAGTTAAAATTCAGTTATGGACGCCATGTCGTTCTGCTCTTTCGACAATACTGGTACCTGGTTCTAGTGCTTTGTCTTGTAGTTGTTCTGTTTGGACTGTTGTGCGCATTCGCTGTTAATAAGATAAAAGGAAGGGAAATGCTTAATGGAATGACCAGGTACTCCAAAAAGCAATCTCAACTCAAACGAGCCTTACTCACAGAAGAAGATATAGTAGTTGAGTCATTTATTGAACATTCAAATAATGGTGATTCACAGCAATGAGCTTTGTCATTATTTATCACTCATTCCAACAAATAGTCACCTTCAAACCTCTAAGAGGAAAAACGTATGAAGGTGGAGAACTAAGGTTCGCTCTTCATTAGGGATTTAGATTCCTCCAAAGGGACATGCAGAGCGGATCATGACGTTCAGGAGCCTATGAACTCGATGAAGACCCTCTTCCAGTGCCTTCAGTACCTCTCCCCGTTCCTCCTGTGGTACCTCCACCACCTCCAGCTTCACCACCTCCACTACTTCCACCACTACCACCACTGCCACCACTAGAACTGGAAGAACTGACAGATCCACCTTCTCCACCTCCACCACCACCAGCTCCTCCACCTCCACCGCCGCTGTTGTCACTACTGCCACCACCAGAGCCACCACTTCCACCCGAAGAACTCGATGAGGACGAGCTTGGAGGCCCAGGCTGTCCTATATAAATATCGTCACTTTTTTGAATGGCATGATATTGAACTTGGGTGTCACCCTTATAAAATTTTTCCATCGGTGTTCCAATCTTGACGCCACTCATTGCAAAGATAATGGCAGGAATTTCAATGGGATGATAAGGCAAAGCAATCACACCAGAGAAAGTATCATTTGGAATGTGGAGTGTGACCACTGGTGGGTCTGTTTCCCACTTGATCATTTTTTGATTCAGGAAATATTGCTTACAATACACCACTGGTTCCAATGGATTGGAATGCCTCACAAATTCACAACCATTATTGAGGTAGATCTAACAATGAAGAATTAGATTCTCGATATAATCCATAACTTACCACAGTGGAAGCAAAATTATAATCTCTCTGATAATAGGTTAGCACAACATCTTGCAACTGATCGTTATTAATGTCGGTGATGAATCCAACTTGTGCTGTATTTCCGTTTCCGGTGTAAACGATTGGAGCAGGAGCAAACACATGCATACCAGTCATTGGAATGGCATGACATAAAATTAATATTAATACCAATACACATGGCAGCAACCATCGTAAGCTCGGCGGGACAGTATGTGTCAAAATGTCCTTGATGTTGTTGGATCGCGTCACAAACATTCTTTGCTTCTTTTTAAAAATCTTGTTTTTTGTTCATTGCCTTTTCATCTCCACAAGTGTCTCTTGAAGCCAAATTTAGCAACAGTTTCAGCCATAGGCAGACAAGAGAAGGGTTTAGAAAGGAAAGTATTAGTTAGGTTTTTGAACATAAAAGACCTACGGTCTATGAGGAATACTCCATCATAATTCGAGGCGTTCCTACTCATTAAGCTCATGATCAATTTTAACCATTCTTTCCATGCGGGGCAGGAATAACTCCAGGTTGATGTTGACCGCCTGTGACTTGTCCACTCGAACTCACGACATCACTACTGGGTTGTCCTGAACTGCCATAGTAAAAGTGAGAAGCACCTGTGCCTGTTCCAGAGTAGGGCAATGTGGTGGATGACCCATTTCCATTTCTCTGATCCTCTTCTTCATCGTCACCATTCATCATTGAGGTGGGCGAGGAAGGTTTCGAAGGAGGTCCAGGTTGTCCAACGTAAATCTCATCTCCTTTCGAAATGGCATGATATTGAATAGGTAAATTTCCTTAAAAACTTTTCCATGTGCGTTTCAATCTTGACTCCGCTCATTGCAAAGATAATGGCAGGTATTTCAATGGGATGATAAGGCAAAGCAATCACACCAGAGAAAGTATCATTTGGAATGTGGAGTGTGATCACCGGTGGGTCTGCCTCCCACTTGATCATGATTTGATTCAGAAAATGTTGTTTGCAATAGACTAAAGGCTCAAAAGGATTCGAATGTCGAACATATCCACAACCGTTATTGAGATAAATCTTTGATGTAAGGTCACCAGAATAGGAACAGTTCAATGCATTGGTATTGAAATAATAACCTTTTTGGAATGAAATGGATACAACATGATTGGACTTACCACCTGACTCGCAAAGTTATAATCTCTCTGATAATAAGCAACAACAAAATCCAATAAATGATCGTCATTCACATCTGTAATGAATCCCACCACAGCAGTTATTCCATTTCCAGTGTAAACAATGGAAGTTGGAGATGCCATATGCAATCCACTCACCACATGCATGTTGTTGTGATGAATCCACACACACTCCAACCAGATAAGAATGACCAATAACCTCCACAATAACTTTGAAGAACGAAAGCTTTCATGTTTGTATTCTTTTCGAAAATGCATCTTGTTGTTCATGGACTGTTGTGGAGAAAGAGCAAGTTTGTGGATTAAATGTTTTTTTTTCAATAAGTCGTTATGGTTGTAATGATGTTTTGATTCATTCATCACGAAGAAAACACCATTCCACGACTGCCACAATTGGAATATTGATATTCTTCTTTGATTTGAAAACTATCACCAAATTTGTCATTCTTTCACAAATAGTCACACATTGAAAAATTGTCATTGGTTTAAATGAAGATATTTAGAAAGATCCATTCGTTGATATTGAATCTTGAAAGGCAATTCTACGAGTATTAGAGCTATTTCCACAATGAAGCAAAAGTTATTTCTAATTTCAATTTCTATTGCTAATTGGCGTTTTTTAGAATTGTTTGTTTTCCTTCTCAACTTGTTTGGGAATCACTGTTTTCTCTCAAAATTCCAGATTACGATCGAGAAATTGATGTAGTCGAGGGCTATTTGCTATTTTTTCTAATTACAATAATCAAACTAACCTAATAGGTCAAAAGTCACTTGTCATTCTCCAAACAAACATCACAAAAAAAAATGTCTCGTTCTCTCCTCTTTGTATTGTTATTATCCCTCGTTCTTGCTTTCACAGCCTCCACCCAGGCCAGAACTGTCTCTGAACGTGCCATCGACAGCATTATCAACACTTGGGTCAATTCTGTCACCAATGCTAAATACGAAAATGAAGAACTTGCCGACACCACAAGTTCACCTGGTCAAATCGCTGCTGCTTTTGCCAACTCCAAAGTTGGATCATGCTATTCACAAGCTCAAAGAATGAGTAATCCATGTTACGATTGTTCTTCATTGGTCTATTTGGCCTATAAAAGTGCTGATCCAACTTTGAAAGACTGTTCCAACTACTACTCGAGGTTATCCTGGAAGTTTGAGAGATGTGACTGGACAAGCATTGCAAACGGGTGATATTTTGTGGAGAAGTGGACATGTGGGTATTTATTTGGGAGGAAATCAAGTGGTGAATGCTGAAAATCCAAAATCAGGAGTCAAGAAGAGAGATTTGGGTTTCTATACCAAATATTTGGGTTTCACTAGAGAGTATCGTGTTTAAATATGAGATCATTCAGATCTTAAAGTGATCACACTCCAATCGAAATTGTCGAAATAACGAATAAAATTGGAATTGAAAAAAGTCATTCATTCACGAATTAAGAGAAGAATTTGAGGTCAAGTTTCAATGTGTACAACATTGATCTCAAAGAATATAAGAAAAGAGGCGTTACTAGTAGTGGCTGATTTACCATAAGATCGATCCAAAGGCTGAATATCCTCCTCAAGATACAAGGTTGACCCTCCCAACGAATAACACGCTTTGAGTGGGAATGTGTGAAAGAATGAAACAAAAAGGTCGATTCAACACAAATTCTGGCATTGCACTGGTTGGGACGGCCATTCGATAATTCACTCTTGCGACAGTCACTGCTGCTGCTTCTGTACCAGATTCATCCACTTTTAGCATTGCCTTGTGATAAATCTTATCAATCCACAAGCGGCCACCTGCTGCTAGAGATTCTGGTGTGAGAATTCCTGAAAAATTTGCCTTCTCCATGTTAAAACTTGTTTCCATGTGGAAAGGAGATTCTTTGAGAATGGCAGAAAGTTCTAAGGTGTTAATTTCTGCTTTGAATTTTGGAATTTGCACAATTCTTACTTTCGTGGAGGAAGTTGAAAATAATTCTGATAAGGACAATTGTTGTGAAATGGAATTATTTTCCGAGTGATTCGAATTGGCCAAATCGTCATGTTGGTCTTTGTTTGTCAACCTTTTCGAGATCCATTTGATGAATTCCTTTTCATTCTCTACGCTTAATTCAACGTTTTCTTTTGGAAATAGAAAGAGCATTTCAAAATTGTCATTACTGTATGGAAGTTTCAACCATTTGTACAAATCATTTTCTCCATATTTTTCTAAGGTTTTTCTTTTGGTCATGAATTGAACAGTGATCTCAGAATTAGTATGAGCTGATAATGATCGAAATCTTCCAGAGACAGTTTGTTCAGGGTTGAAGGCAACTTTCCATTTTCCAAGAAAATAAATTGCATTGACCAATAGTAATTTTGTCTCGGGAACAATTGAGCCAGGTTGCAAGACATCTTTGATCAAATGATGGGTCTTGTCTGAAATCCATGAATTAATCAAATTACGTTCCTTCTCATAATTTTGGACAAAATCACATTTGCGAATTTCAGAATGAAATTGTGACACAATAGCGTTTGAAAAGTCTTGTGAAATGTTGAAGGTCTGTTCAACAAAGAGGCCATTTGCAATAGATAACTCTCTGGAGGTATTGGAATAACTAGAAATAATTTCGTTCATTGCTTGTGAAAACTGTGTTACGTCTAGAGAATTGGATTGATCCAATGAGAGTGCTTGTAACAGTTCGTGTTGGGTGTCACCACGGGATCCTATTGTAAGCATGGAAAGAACCATAAAAAGAGAGAATGGAGAAAGTACAGTGTTGTATGTGAGGAATGAATCTATTTGAGAAGATGAGGATTGTTGTGGCAATATTGAATTGAAGAGGTTTCCAGCAAATGCTTTTTGAGAAGAGGGAATCAAAGAGATCAGTGAAGAGTGTGATGATGATTCTTCTTGGCATTGCACATACTCTTGGATCCATGCAATGATTGTAGAGAGGATTATAAGGAGCAGAAATGTTGTGAGAGTAATACTTGTCGACATTTTTTGTTTTGAGAAAAATAAGAGAAATTCTTGTAGTGTACAAATTTGGTCAATTGCCAAAATAATGAATATAGTCTACTTACATGTAATTAATGTATGTATCTCCAAAATAAATATAATTATCAATTACAATGTTAATTTCTTAATTAACAAGCCCTTAAATTCAACTGATAAACCATTTTCATTCGTGGGAGAGCAAGCAAAAATTCCTAATTGCAAAATGTCGTTTTCACTTTCTGAACTCTTGTCAAAAAGATGAGCAATTCTAAGCAAATGAAAAGTTTCTCCGTCATCAAGGCTATATTCAACTCTAACATCTCCTTTCACTAACTCCACACGAATAGTAAACCATGATGAGTCGCTATCAAAATTTACTGGACTAGTTGACCAGTCACTGAACTCTCTTGTAACAACAGCACTTGCATATTTTACATTATTGACAAACTCAATGCCAGTCTTGATCCATTGTTTTTCATTGACTCGTAGCATAATACCGGCTTGATCATATAATTTTTGATAATCTCCTTTAAATTTTACTTGAATTTCAAAATTATGATTGGTCTTGAAATCCTCACGATTTAAATATAAAAAGTTTCCATCATCATGAATAAAACCGTAATGAGTTTTTCTCCAATAATCACCCATCGGAGAGGTTGTCATCTTTATATCAAGAGAATTATTTTCTTCTCCTTTCTTAATGAAAAGACTTTGTGCAACTCCAGTCGCCCAGTTCCATCCGATAGTTGGAGGTACTCCAATGTCCGAGGGAAGAGCAATCGTTTCAACACGTGTAAAGTGGTGTTGAATGGGCATATTTTGTTGTTGTTTTTGTTTGGAATTGTGTTTGCTTCTACTATATAGAAACATCAATTAAAGCCATTGTGAGTCTCGTCGGAGTCAGGAGTAGACTGGCCGAACGGTTAGGAGATTTCATGAGCAAAATTAATTGATTTCAATGCTCCGCAAGAGAAAATCATCAACAATTCGAGTGAAAGGTTGCTAATTCATTACAACAACTCTCACTTGGTTTCAAAAAGAGATTACATGACGGAGGTTCACTTGATCGATTTGGGCAAAACTAATTCAACATCATTCAATACACAGAGTAAGGAAAATTCTGAGCAAAGATTATGTGTTTGGTTATTTGGCAACCAAATATGGTTATTGTAATCAAAAAACTGGTCTTCCATATCCTGGTTACATGTCTTTGGCTCCAAATTATGTGGCAAAGGATGGTACCACCACAAGCTACACCATGAATCATGTGTTGTCCTCTCGTAACATGAGTCCCAATGGAAGAATGTGTGGAATCAGTCCAACGGGTCTTCTCTCTCAATATTCACTTGTGTTGACTCTTCTTGTGGATGCCACTCAGACCGAACAACCCAATGATGGATTTGTCGAATCATCGAGTTGTACCTCACATTCTTCTCAACAGCACTCCTATTCTGAAGGATTTAGTTCAAATTATTATCTTGCCAATTTGAATCATGCAGATACTTCGTGTCGAAATGGTAATGGTTGGCTCTCTCGATCGAAGCAACCCTGTTTGTATTATAAGGATAAAATGTAAAAACACTTTTTCTCAAGTGACAGGTCAAGGATTTAAGGGAGAGATGTGTTGCTTCTGTCCTTTCAACGTTGAAATCAATGACACAACCTGATGCTGAAACAACAAAAACAACTCTTGATGAGAGAGACTCTGCCTGTGTGGACCCCGTTGATGACTTTCTTTGGAAACATGATTCCATAGAATCCGTTCACCATGAAAACGATAGTATTCCTATTTTAAGGTCAGAGCTAAGAGATGAGATGCTTATTGATGTGTTCGTCCCTGTATAACAACAACACTTCGATCCACTCGATTTTCCTGTACGGTTGTTGTATCATATCCTCAACCTCCTTTACCAACCCAAGTCACAACTATCTCTATTTGAACCCCACTTCAATACAGGACAGTTTTTTCCATTTCAAGCACGACTGTTCATCGGCCATTTCCAAAAAAATAAACTCAAACAGCGCTCACAAACACCAAATGCCAACTCGTGTTTCTTTCTGAGGACAATAGTAACCTCATCATGAATTGCATCTCCCTCCTTTCGCTCTCTGTTATGGATTTTTAAAAGCATGGAGTGGTGGTGTGGTTCGGAAAGAAAGCCTTTCGCAGAGAACAACGTCGGTTATAAATTGATATTCTTCTCCAAAGAAAAAAACGCACAAACGATTGAATTTCTGTTGGCAGGAACATTAACAACAACAATTCCATCTTGTACTTGTTACTGCTCGTACGAAGAATAGTAGAAGGTCCTGTCGGGAATACTACAATTGAATTCGTGATAAAATCGCTCTCATCCATCTCTTGTATTATAATTGTAACGATAACAACAAACGTTGAGGGTTTTCTCTCTTCATTTGTGAGCTCATACTACTCACTCCTAATTTCATTAACAAACATCTGACCATGTCTGTTCCAAACGTATTCATTTCATGCTGTCTAATGACAGTTTTGTTGTCCCTCATTCTCATGATGAGTGTCAGTGCTGAACAACCAAGTCTCAATATTCGAGGTTCGACTCCAATTATCTCGGCACCACAAACATCTACACTCAAACAACTATTTTCACAATATTGGTCTCCAATTAACCCAAATAGTCAACCACGTTCAGAGGATATGAAAGGATTTGAATTTGTGTTGACAGAGAGAACTGGCCAAAGAAAGAGTTATAAGGGTGTTTTGCAAATCCATGCAAGTAATACTCCACAATGGGTTCAAGCAGATGTATACGATGGTCAACTCACTTATCATTTGAATATCATGAGAAACGCTGCTACCTTTAAGGTCATTCAACACACTTCCAAGTTTTGTTTCACTTTGAACTTTATTCCAAGAAACAATTCATTGCTCTCAAAAGTGGCTCAATTTGCCACTTCATTGCTTGAAGGTCAACAAACCACTTATCGATTCTCTCCAAATTCAATCAAGTATGATGCATTGGTGAATCAAGTTTGCAACAATTCCTCATTGAAGATGGATGCTTTCATTTTGGGAGATGATGGTTTTGTCTCGTGTGCTCCTGCTGTCTCTTCAACCTCTGTTTCTGTCAATCCTCAAATCTTTATCACAAGAAACGTCTTGATTCGAGTGACCAAACAAATTTCAGGGAAATTCAAACAATTGGCAAAGAGGTGTTTGTCGTTGGACATATTTGATAGACAACTTGCAGCCACCTTGGGCGACAGATACTTTGCTGAATTATTACAAGATACATTTGATAACAGACAAAGTCTTACATCATCCTTGTTGAGACCAACCTTTTGGTTTGAAACAAGCACTGAAGCTTGCTCTCTTCCATACATGGCAGATCCATCCAAGTGCAATAGTTTGAACACTCCAACTGGATCCAAAGTTTGTATCTTCATTCATGGTGCAGGTGGTATGAAAGATCAAGATCCAAAATACAATTCATTCAAAGATTATTGGGGTGATATTGAACAATGGACTCCTCAATGTTCAAAGAGAGTGTTTGCAGTGAGAAACACTCGAGATGTTGGTTGGGATGACAAAAATTTACAAAAGTATTATTGTGACTTGGCTCGTAAGGAGAGTGGACTCAATGTCACCATCAACGGAGTGCCACAGTTGAAGAATGTGATTCTCTTCACTCATTCTCAAGGAGGTTTGGTCATTTCAGCTGCTCTCAAGAACAAACTCTGCTCAATTGATGGTTTTTCTTCGAGTTGGTATTCTGTTTCAACACCTTTCCAAGGATCTGGAGTGGTTAGCAAGTTGATTAAGTATTGTTCTGCCTATAAGGGACCTTTCAATCCATTGAGCAAAGATTATGTGTTTGGTTATTTGGCAACCAAATATGGTTATTGCAATCAAAAAACTGGTCTTCCATATCCTGGTTACATGTCTTTGGCTCCAAATTATGTGGCAAAGGATGGTACCACCACAGCAACCCTGTACACAGTTCAATTATCGAGAACTTTGAAACCTGAAGGAAGAATGTGTGGAACAAGTCCAATTGGTATCATTTCCAAGTATTCATTTATTTTGACTCTCTTGTCTGAATCGACCAACATTGCAAATCCAAACGATGGAATGGTGGAGCAGTCCAGTTGTACCTCATTGTGCACCCAAACCTACAATGCTCTCTACACATCGAAATTCTATCTTGCCAATTTGAACCACGCTGACACTTCATGCAGAAACGGTAATGGTTGGTTCTCTCGATCAAAACAACCATGTTTATACTATAAGGGCAAATTGTAATAAAATTGACCATTAATTGAACGACAGAATTTTTATTCTTGAAAAGTATGAATCATTCCTTAGACCAATGATGTTTTGAATGCTTTTTCCCAGAGTCTTTTTGGAAATGGCTGATGGCCAAACTTTTTGGTGGGCTTGATGGGCTTTTTGTGTGAGAGAGTCTAGCTTGCAAATTCGTCAAATATTCTCCATAACTCAGTATTTTCTGCTCGTGATATTGAAGGACAGTCTTGCTTTCAGTTACATGATTGTCGTCTTTCATCAACACACTGTAAGGAGGTATTGAGTTTTTCAGTTCCTCATAATACTTGGTTGCATTTGAATACTCTTCAGGAGTGCTTTGATGTAACAGGTCTCTCACATTTAACCTAAGTTTTTCCATCTCATTTTCACACTTTAACTGTCTCTCCTTAAGTCTTGAGATGATCATCCCCACTTTATGTTTGAAAACGTCCGTATCCTTTTTCTTCCTTCTTAGGATTCTATTGCACATCTTCTCCTTTGCATTGTAAGCGGTCTCGAATTCCTCGTCGTCACTATTGTATTGCGTCAGCCGATCATACTCCTTATGTAGAGATGAAACAAAATTTTGTACATGTTCTGGCATGTCCTTTTGCAAGTTCTGAAATAAAGAGAATTTCTTATTTCGTACCACCATACTTAACAACAAGCGCTCATCTTTTTTCTCGATTAAAGTTTCCATGACGTGCATTATTTCTTCGAAGCATTCAAAGTGTTCGATTGCAAGTTCCATCACTAGGTCAAAGGTAGGAGTTAAATTTTCCAACCGTTTACGATAAATTAACAAGTCAAGCTCCATCTCCTTTTCTCGTGAAGTTATGCCACATCCTTTATCAATATTAAGAACTCTTTTGTCAAAGGTCTCTCCAGTATTAAGATTGTGTCTATACAATTGAATGTCCAACTCTCTAGAAAGCACCTGTTTTTCTGATTGAAGTTTTTGCACTTCCAATTTCAAAACATCAATGTCGTTCTTCATAATTGAATTTTCTTCTTTCATGTCTTTAAATACAAGGGACGAAGCAATCATCTTCTCTTTAAGATTCTCGATTTCTAATAGATATGTTGTTTCTTTTGCCTTCAAAGTCTTATTGGACTCTTTCAAAAGATGGTTCTCTTTTTTTGAGTGTTCAAGTTGAGCCTGAAGATCCAAAACGATATTTTCCAGCTTTTGTATTTGTTCCAAAGCATTATTCTTTTGCTCCAGTTCATGATCGCGTTCATGCTCCGTCTGCTTTAGCTTAGCACGTATTTTGGAGAGCTCGGAACTGAATTGAACAGTGATCTTCTCTTTTGCTTGATGCATTTTCGACACAAGGTTATCCACAATTAAGCCACAAGATAGATGATGATTGTACTTTTTCAACTCATCACTCCACTGAACGTTACTGATCATCTGCTCAAGTGGAGGCAAATAGCCATTGATACATCTCGAAGAGGATAATGTTTTCGGAAGAATTTCCCCATGATTGGTTGAATCCATCCTAGAAGTGTTGTGTTGTTGTTGTTGCTGATATATCTCACTACTTGTTGTTTCAGTAATCAACAAGCCTTGCTCTCCACTCCTCCCTTGCCGCTCCTCCACTCCTCCGTTCTCTTCCTTAGAGATCATCATATTTTTTTCTATTGAGATATAACTACAGGAGAGGAATGGATGTGAGAAGAGTCTTAACGTATAAACATTCTTCAAAAATTTCAACTGTCCCCTAAACATGAAGATCATTCTCACAAGGATGCCTTTAAATTCCATGTCCATGGTGTTCGGAAACTGTTTCAAAAGCAGAACGAACATTTGAGAATATTCTCAACGACCTGGTGTATTGCAGGAGGAGGTCATGTGTAGTTTCCAATTGTGGAATTCTTCCAAATGCTTGGAGCGTATGATCACGAATTCAATTTCACCTAGAGTCACTCGAGCACGTGCGAATCGTTTGCAAAAAAAACACAACAACAAACATATAGCACGATGAGAAGGACACATCATCTCTTGCATTCATCTTTGACTATATCTTGGCAGACATTGCATCCACCCCAGCAACAAATTCTTCTCTTCAGTTCTCAGCGCTATCTTCAACAAGAACATCATCGACAATATCATTCAAGTGTAAGAGCGTTCTCTCGTGACCATGCAGAACCCACTTCTCATACTCCCTCAACCATTCAGGGAAGTTCAGTCGATCCTCTCTTGCAATCGAAAAAGGA